CTTTCTGCCGCTTTCCTCCGTAATGCAGTGCTGATTTTCACCACAGAGGAAAGCACTTCACAAATTGCAGTACCGATAAGGAGCTGTAAAAATACTGCAGTTTTTGCATGGCGATCGATATCGGCCGATACCCACTCTCTGCCGATCGATCGGTGCTCTCTAAAAATGCAGATCGTGAGACGTAAAATACATGACACTTTTCTCTTGGTGCGGCAAAACAAGCTCGCCAAAATGGCTTCACCAGTCGTGCAGTATTTTAAGGTGTCCGAAAATGACAATAAAATAGCGGTATGCAACGTGTGTGAAGCAGAAATCCTGCAGCTCCACCCGCTGTGACGGACCGGTGAGCGGAGCAAAACACACAAGAGTTAGACCTAACACACTTAGCTATTTGATCTACCTCTGGAACTAGTTATAAATATATTTATTCTTCACTGTCACTCATTACTGGATCAGTGAGCTGCATGAGATACTGACAGGCTGTCAGGAGAGAGAGAGAGAGGGAGAGAGGAAAAGAGAGCGCTTCCGCTCATTTCCCCCGTGTTATTATCCAAAGTTAATGTAAACTTGAATAATGTAGGCTACTTCATTTGAATGTAACAATTATGTTGGTTGTTGTTTGTGGAAGCGCCAGTGAATGAGCCCCATTAACTGAGTTTTAAACATCACTTTAAATGGAAGATCCCCATAGGACTCGCCCACTCGATCGGATCGGCGATCGCAGCATCCCTAATCCTAAATTGCGCTGACAGGTCCACACACTGCTTCCTCGCAGCGAGGCTCCCCCGCCCTCCTGTTGACAGTTCACGAGCGTCGAGCTCTTCACCCCCCCCCCCCGTTGATAATTCACGATCGTCGGCACGCTGATAAAAACATTTCTTTTGAATGGCACTTCATATCAAAAAGGTTGCCGACCCCTGCATAGCGCGTTCTCACTACACACAACACGGAACCAACTTTTGTCTTATGATGTTAGCATAAGCACACATATTGTATAAATAAGCATGTAAACACCGTGGACCTAACATCGTCTAGGGGGGTCCGGGGCATGCTCCCCGGGAAGATTTTTTTTTTAATATTGAAGTTAAAAGCATCAATCTGGTGCACTTTGAGAGCAACATTAAGAGATCTATGGATACATCTGTCAACAGTCAACACCCATATGAAACAGAACTGTGAACAGATTTTTCTTTATGGATATTTTACTAATCACTCCCCTTTTAAACTGTATTCTTGTTTTACTGTCATACAGTATTTCATAACTGTTTTTCATTTATCCTCTCTGGCTGTCCATTTCATAATGTTCACATAGAAACTAGCTGTCAATAGGAAAATCTTTCAGAAGAATTATAATTTCATGCAAAAATCTGTCACAAAAAGATGTTGCACATTTAAATTCAGGTGTTGTTACAGTATGGCAACGTCAGTGGCCAAACAGCCACATTTACTGCTGCAAATACGTTCAAACATGCATGTCGAACAGTAAGTCAACATTTCCCAGAGAGCTTTCTTTGAAATCACCAGGTAACGCTACAAAACATAACATTTAGATTGTATGACAAAGTGTTTATTTAATATATCTGGCTAGCTATAGCTACTTACTTGCTAACGGTTTAGCTTACCCCCGCGATTCAAAGTAACGTCAGCGTAGCTGTAATTTATGCTTTGCTTACATGTTCGCATAACTTGGAAGTTTACTTACATTTACATACCTTGTTTACCTGGCTCAAGTGGTGGCTCTGGGGTTGTTGTGTGAGCCACCACTTGAGAATTGTCGTCTTTTTTAAGAAAAAAATGTCTTATGTCCATCTTCAAAAACTCTGAGTCGACTGACAGTTTAAACATTGTCACAGCTCACAGGATAGGTACCTGTCAGCCAATAAGACAGATGTTTATTTCCATTCAACTCTCAGGTTGGTCTGGTGTCTTGCCTCTGTTGCATTCACTGAACACGGGAAATTACAATCCTGCCGTCCTCTCTAGTGTCATGATGAGGTTCAGGTAAAGCACGGTTAATGTATTATATTATTGAATCAATAATATAATACATGACTTTGAGAGTAGGCAATCTAGGCATATTAACAAAATTAATTAAACATACTTATCACGGCAACGGTGTACTGAGATTATTATTTTTTTTTTCATTTTTTCTTTTCATTTTTTGCTAGGGGGCCCTTAGTGGCAGCGGGGCCCTAAGCGGCCGCTTATGTCGCTTAATGGGTCGGGCCGGCTCTGGTCACGGACCCTGTCTTGTTATCTATGATTACTATATGCTTTTAATTCATAATTTCAGCGGGAGGGAGGGGGGGCTGCGCTGAGGAACAGCAGAGTGCGGGTTGACAGGTGTCTGTGTTGACATTCCCCTTATTGTGGGATACAAGTGTCTTAGGTTCAAGTTAGACAACTAATGTCTGGGTTAGTGTTCATGACTTCATGTTTATGTCATCTTAATTGTTAATCTTGATGCACATACATTTTCCGTGCTTTCCAATAGTTTAAAATAGATTTATTCCACTGTTAAATAACCTGTTCAATACAAACATGCCACTTGTACAAATTAAATAAAATGTCTGTGAACTGATATTTGTTTAGTGAGCTTATTAGAGGATGTTCCCTGAAAGATTGTAAAATGTCAATGAAGATGTCTGACTTAATTTGTTAATAATTACATACAATACATGGAATTTGTGTGTGTGTGTGTTCCAAGTGAATCTGCGGCCCCCTGGTGGCAAGTACATAAATTATGTGGCCCCCACTACCATTAAAGTTGCCCATCCCTGCTGGAGGGTTTGGTAACATATCAATTCAAGAGTGCCAGCATGTCTGTTTCCTGGAGGCGGTACTTACAATGCAGACTCAGTACTTTTTAAACTTGAAAAATATCAGTACAAAATAATTTATGTTAATTTTTACCAGCACTATTTTAGTTTATGGTTGTTATCCACAGGTTTTGTAGGAATGTGGGTGATATACTATTACTTGGTTTGTAATCTGAAAATACCAATACTAAAATTAGCAATATTTTATAACTTGAATTATGGATACGCCAAGCCATACTGTAAAAGCACATTGAAGGTTTTGGAAAGGACTGGCTTATCTAAAGCTAGTTGAGTAGCACTTGAAATGGTTTGGCTCTATGAAACCTGATGTACTTACTGTATATGATTCTGTTTTCTTCAAGTTTGTATCTTCTTGGTCGAATGCACTTATTGTAAGTCGCTTTGGATAAAAGCGTCAGCTAAATACAATGTAATGTAATGAAAGTGGTACATAAATCCTGTACAACTACTGTTAAAATGGAATATAATGGGACAATACAACACAATTATGTGTGATTGGCAGAGCAGCATTGCTTTTACCAATGCTCCTACTAAAACTATAATAAAAGACATGTGTCTTTGACGCACTTAGAGTGCACCAGCAGAGATCTTAATGGGTCCTGAAGTAGTCCCATATGTCTTACATCTTTAATGAATTTAACCAAGCAAAAAGCAGCATTATCCCACTGTGACTGCCAGGTCCTGTCATTATTAATCGGCCAACATTTGCACACATCATAAAGTGTATTCATATTGAAAAACCTTAAAAACAAAGGTATTATGTTTTATAGACAAATTAATCTCAACTCGAGGTCCACTTTTCTGATCTCAAAAACATCATCACCAAATGTTAAGAGAAAATTGTGTGACTTGCAGGTTCTGTTTACTGATTAAGACCATAAGCAAATCATTTTGAATGTACTTCACAGGCATAACAACAGACCTCACACCTCTGTTCTTTATGGTGCTTTTTCAATCAATATTTTTTTTTCGACATTAACTTCAGAGGCATTTTTGTGTTATTTATCAGTGTGGATGGATATACAAACTGAAATCATGCAATACAGTTTCAACAAGGGAAAGTGAGTCATAAATGGCTCTTTAATAGATGTATTTCATTATTTCAGAACGGTTTGAAGGGGGCTTAATATTTAGCAGAGGCATATTGGAATTCATTGTCAGAGTTGAACAGCAGAACATTGTTTAAAATGTTACATCTTAAACCACCTATTATTATCAAATGTATTTATGTACCTGACCCTTGTTGTAGCAGTGTAAACCTCCAGAAATGCTTGATACTTTAACCCAATGTAATGAGACAGGTGGGCACTTCATGTCTGTTTGTTGACTACCTAAATGACCTTTTAGATTAAAAATAAATGTTTGTTTCTCCCCTATTGACTTAAATCCTCATGGTTATTTTATATGTTGACCCTGTTTTTATATTTAAGTCAGAAAATATGAAGCAAACTAAATGTGTCAAGTCCTTATTTTAAGACATTGAATGAGGTCAAATTGCAGAGGTGGAAGAAGTACTCAGATCTTGTACTTAAGTAAAAGTAGAAGTACCAGAGTGTAGGAATACTCTTGTTACATTAAAAGTCCTGCATTCAAAATGTTACTCAAGTAAAAGTACAAAAGTATTGGCATCAAAATATACTTAAAGTACCAAAAGTAGAAGTACTCGTTATGCAGATTGGACCATTTCAGAATAAATATATATGATATGTTTGATTATAATTATTGATAAGTGTTATCAAAGCTGGTAAAGGAGCAGCTAGTTTTAATGACTTTGTATACTGCAGGGTAGCTTGTGAATTTACTCCAGGTGGAACTAAAGTCTGATTTAAGAGTTTATTATATTTCACATAATTAATCCAAATCTGCAAAGTAACTAAAGGTATTAAGTAAATGTAGTGGAAAGTAGCAAAACATTGAAATACTCAATTAAAGTATCTCAAATTGTACTTAAGTACAGTAGGCTACTTGAGTAAATGTAGTTAATTTACACCACTGTCAAATTGACCCCAAAGACAGTAAAAGGGTTGAACCAAGGCCCTTTTGTTTGTAGAGCTTTCACTTAAATGGGGAAGGTTTTTTCAAATCCATGATCCAATAAAAAAAGAGACAGAAAGTTCAGGTATGAGGGAAAGAGAGGCAATGAGGAGGACAAAGTAGGCTAAGTGAGGAAGGAAAAGTGAGGATAAAATGGAGTGAAATAGAAAGAATGAGGAGAGCAGGGTTACTGAGAGACAGAGACAGAGAGGAGAGAAGAGAGGTAGAAGGTGATTGTAGCACTAGTCTATTCTGCCGCAGCCTACCGGGCGGGGGGATTACTGCCGTGCAGCCCGGAGCTTGACGCGGGACGTTCCTGGTCTCGAGCACCGCGGATATACTTCGTCTGGCACGCGCATGATGATAGAAATGAATATGGAATGATAACGGCCGACAGCGGGAGATGGGCAGGCGTTGAGATCAGCTTTAACTTCCCCCGGTGGCGGCTCAGCTTCGAAATGGTAGGAAAAAACCTGTTCCGGTACAGTAATGTAGTAGAGAGCCCCTTCCTATTGGCGTGCTGTTTCGTATTCTCCAAAAAGACGCAATGCGAGGAGTTGAGATGAGCATTAGCTACGCAGCTGAAAGTGGAGCAGAAAGCTCTCTCAGTGTCAGCAAGCCTCTTTCCGTAGTTCTCTGGCTTTAGTTTCTAGCAGCGTCAGGATATTACAATCCACCATATCATGTTTTGTCGCTGAATTCCATGCAAAAAACGGTCAAATAAAACAGCTCTTGCACGCCGGCTAATATACACACCTGGTAAAACACAACTTATAGACAATGTTGAATTGTCAGGATCCAGTCTTACATTCGGCATACACAGGAGTAGCAAAATACACCTAAATGTAACTAAATCTTAACTTTTAGAGTCGGTTGGCCAGTTCTTCATATTCCTTCAAACGCACTGTGCGGGGCGGAAGCAGGTGTGTGAAACCATTGTAAAACTTAATATTTTGTCAACACAAGGCATTTTTGAAACATTGTACATGCGCCGAATTTGTCAGTAGATGATTACATAGGAGGTGACTGTATCTCACACGCCATACCACAAGTATGGCTGACAATGAACAAGTTAAGTTTAAATTATTTGAGTTTTGAATGAAGTTTGGAGCAACGTCGCCTCCGTGCGGGAGAGCGGGGCGTATTGGCGTTACACCGGCAAATGTGGTCTCCGTCCTCTGGCAGTGCGTTAGTCACCGGACAACATGAGTTGGTGTGTGTCTCAGCGCCTGCAGTCTGCGGGTGAAAGTTGATGAGTGTGGGGCTTTGTAGAAGAGCGGTCAGCGGCTGGCCGGCTGCCTCCGGGCCGTCCGTCCCACAGGGACAGCGGAAGGCCAAGTTGAAGTTCAGCTCGAGCCTCTGGTTGTGTGTGTGTGTGTGCGTGTGTGTGTGTGTTAGTCAGCAGAAAATGGCCGCAGTTAGAGCCAGCGGGCTGAGTTAGAATGACAGGCCGGCAGAGGGCCTCCTGTCCCGGGAAACAGCTGGGGCAGAGAGCCGCTGGGGTGAACACAGAGCTGCAGCTCCTGTTAGAAACACTCGAGTTTAGTTGGGATGTGAGCCACTATACAACAGCTCAGAGGCCACTGTAGAGAAGAAAGCAGCCGATACATGACACAGATTACATTTGAGGATAGACTTTAGCTTTTTTGATTGACTGCTGTGGAGAAATTCTCCTGAACACAGTTTGAGAGCCCAACAGGCTGAAATGATATGAGACTGCTCGATCATGTGACAGTTGGTAGATTAATAATGCTGCTCCAGTTGAACGGTCATACATTACTCCTTTTAAAACAGCAACAGCAGCAATAAATGATGACAATAAGAGTAATGAGATGAAAGACTGATACTATGATATGTTTAAAAAAACAAAAACATTTTATCATAAAAATAAAGAGAGTGGGGTTATGTCTTATGGTAAACAAGGTCTGTATTTCAACTGCAGGGAGTCATATAGACGATAAATAAGTTAAATTAGCTCTCCATATGACATGCATCATTAATACAAATACAACCATTTACATAAACAGAGAATATGGTTAATTCTGGATATTAGATTGTAGCTCAGCGTACCATTAATCAACTAAAGAGCCTTATTTATTCTGTCCCTAATGTACTCAATATATTAGTGACATGTCAGCTGAATTCCTTCATACTTTGCTAAATGAAGAGCATGTGTTTCATTTCATTGTAATTGTACCTGTGTGCGATTCTGAAATAAATGCATGAGAAAATATTCAGAGCTTTTGATGAACTTTGATTACAGTTTCACACTGCAGAAATACTCATTTGCAAGTCTCGGTTTGGCAATACAAATTGTAAAAGGTACACAAATGTTATTATCAAAATGTTTTTAAACTATGAAAAGTATTTAGAGCAGAAACATGCACATTATGAGTGTTACATAATTATATTATAATTATGTATGCTTTCATGTTTAGTTTATTTATACAATGAGTCACATTGTTGGCATTAAAGGCATATTTTAGATGCAAATCTTAATTTACAAGTACAACTACCACTAGCAACATATTGTAGGGCAGAGGAAATACATCACTCTGAAACGTAGTGGAGTAGAATTGGATTACCCCGACCGAAGTAAAGACACAATTACTCCCCGGCAAATTCTAAAATGATTTTTACTGTACTTATGTGAATGTAGTTACATTCCAGCACCGGGTTTTAGAAGCACCATGACCCTCAACTGTATGATGTTTTTCATAAGAAAACATTTAAACATGATCTGAGAGACTCGGGTTGTGGTAACCCTACACAGTGTGTATCAGAGTCCCCTGTGGGACTGTAACAAAGTACATTTTCTCAAGTAGGCTGCTACTAAGTGCAATTTTGCTGTACTTGTATTAACAAATGTATGGTTTAACTCTACATTTAAGAAGTATTAAAGTATAAAATATTGTACTTTTAACCCTTTACATTTATCTGAAGGATTGAGTTGCTATAGCAACTTTAGACAGCAAAATATAAACCATGAATAAATAAACATTTTCATATAGGTTAACATATTTTGCAGTAGGCCCTAGATATCAAATAATGAAAATAACCACATTTACCAGCTCTGATGAACATATTCATGTGTTATTATTGCAATAATTCAATATATATGATGGCCATTTTGCATAACAAGTACTTTTACTTTTTCGACTTTAAGTCTATTTTGAAGAAAGAAAATACTTTTACTCATGGAAGATTATGTATGCAGGAATTTAACTTATAACAGAGTTTTTTTTAAATTGGTATAGCTACTTTTACTGAAGTAAAAGACCTGAGTACTGCTTCCATCACTGTAGTGCATGTAAAGCGGATACTCATGTAAACTGTGTGTAGTGTGTGCGTCAGTGATGTTGTACACTGACTATAAAGCGTGTCCTCATGTAAACTGTGCGTGTATCAGTTTCCTCTGTGTGACTGTACTGCATGTAGAGCGGGTCCTCAGATAAACTGTGTACAGTGTATACACTGTATACAGTGTGTACACTGTGTACAGTGTGTGTGAAGTGCATGTTAAGCGGGTCCTCACATAAACTGAGTGCTGTGTTGCAGCTGCTGCGGCTTTAAGCCCGTCTTTTGGGATGGGCTGAATTCATAACGTCATTTCACTTCTCTTTCTTTTATTCTTCGCCCCCTCATCTCCCTCCCTCTCGAAATGACACCGTCCCCGTGCTCCGGTGCCCCTCCGGCTGTGCTCTCCGCACAGTGATTATAATTCAGAACTTTCTCTCGGCGTGTTTCTCCCTGCGGAGCCTTTTTCCGGAGCCTCAACTTTTCTGGCGTGTCATCATTTCGGGAGTTAACGCGGCAGAGTCATCCGAGGAGAACAGAGCCCGCTCATATGTGGGGAGAGAGGAGAGCCAGGGGAGGAGGGCAGGAAGCGCAGAGCCGGGGGTAGCCCGCTGCTGCTGCCTCTGCCGCGGCGCACACAAATGGCGAGCCTCGGGGTGTTTGTGCTCTGATCCGCTGCTCCTCATCAACATGATGTTTTCTCCCCTCTCTCTGTCTCAGGTAAAACTGCGCCGCCCTACATTATTTGATTACAGCTATGAAGCTGTGTTGATTTGATAATGCAAAGTATAGGAACAACTATTTCATGACAGTTATCGTTTTCAACAATGCCTAGCTGCATTCGGTGTGCAGGACAGGGTAGACAGTGAAATATGAAGAAGTGCAGCAGGCCTGCTGGTTTATTAGCTGCTCTACACTGTGTTAGTCACTGTGTGTGTTTTGTGGTGTGTGTGAATGTTTTTTTCTATGTTTGTGGTGACCAGACACTAAGAGTGGCCTACCTTATCACCTCTGTGTGGAATGTAATGTAGTGACATATCAAACTGTTTGGAAACAGACTTCTTTATGCTCTGGACCCAGTCCTATCATTTTACACACACACACACACACACACACACACACACACACACACACACACACACACACACACACACACACACACACACACACACACACACACACACACACACACACACACACACACACACACACACACACACACACACACACACACACACACACACACACACACACACACACAGACTTTAGACTTTAATTGTATTGAGTGTCATTTTAAGATTTTATTTCAGAACAGTGTAGGTAAGACACACAAGGATAACAGTATATATATATATATATATATATATATATATATATATATATATATATATATATATATATATATATATATATATAAATAGTACATTATAAAATCTAAATAACAATAATAGTTTTATGTAAAGGTATGTGAGTTTACATATTTACTGAATGAAGATAATTATGAATATGCATACATATTTACGGTATATACATGTCTATGTGCAAGTCCAGAGAAGGTTTATTCAGTGAAGGTTGTTAAAGTAATGTACATGGGGGCCAAGGCGCCTTAATGTGTGACGAGGAGCGATGAGCCTGTGGCTGAATGTGCTTCTCAGAGGAGGGGGGGGGATCTGCAGGATAGCTTCCTCCTCCCCTCTGCAACCTCCTCCGGATTTCCCAATTTAACAATACAGAGCTAGTCTTCTTATAAGCGTATGACTAAATAATTACAAACACTACAGAAAATCGAGATTCAATTATACTAAGCTAAAAGTTTTAACTATTTAATGATAGTTAACCAAATATTTTTATCCAAAAACAAGAAAACCACTGAGATGAATACAAAACGAACATGCAAATTGATTATTTTCAGTCCAAACTACAGTCATATGCATAGTTTCAATAAATAATAATGTATTAGGCTGTTACTGTGTTGGAGCCACACTAATCTATGAGCTATGGTTATGGTTAGACTTGGGAGGAAACAAAGTTATCAGAGTGAAAATGATTAGTCAAAGCAGCACACAGAAATGCAATGTTAGATACGGTTTTGGTTTAATAATAAACCAATTGTTGTTTTGATTACTCCAGTGTATACGACACAATGAGACGGAACATTTTTTATTTCATTTCAATCAACCATGAGGATACCAATTCAGAACAAAAAGAATCTTGCGAGTACATTAGCTTAAAATATACCAAACCATTTTAAGTGCTTGGGCATTATCTTCCAATCAACAACATAGTGCTATACACAAATGGAAGGTTTTCTTTATTTATTCATTTGCATTCAAAACAGGTGGGATTTTCACTGTCCTGATATCACTGAAGAGCTCAGTCCACCATTTTGGAGCCAAGAAAGCAAGAGTAAGTGTGTCTGCAGGAGCGTGTTGTTGCTGGGATGTTGGCGGTGAAAACAGTTGGTCGTCCAGTGTCACACCCAGATTCCTTACAGTCTGAGTCGGAGAAACCACAGAGGTGTCAATGTTAATAAGAAGGGTTTTTGATGTGAAAACTTTTCCCTGGTAGGAAAATCAGTTGGGTTTTGTTCAAGAAGTTCAGATCAAACTGTGTACTGGCATCCACTGAGATATGTCACCAAGACGAGCAGTGATTCGAGCAGTCCCCTGGGGTTCTGACCGGGAAAATGACTTAGTCAATTGATTCTCATCTGCCTCATTGTAATGGGATAAGCCAGGAGAGTGAATGACAAAGCCTAGTGAATTGGTGTAGAAAAAATTAAATGGGTCCCAGGATGGTGCCCTGAGGGACCCCAGTGTTGACTTTAAAAGGTTCTGACACTTTCCAAGTTACCCTGTAGTTGTGGTCTCTGAAGTGAGATGTGAGCAGGGAAACTACCTGAGACTTCCAGTTCTTGGAGAGTATAAATGAGGATATGGTGGTTCACTGTTGTAAACACAGCAGAGAGGTCCAGAAGAATGACAACAAAGGGGTAACTCAGTGATGCTAGGAGGGCAGTCTCAGTTGATTATCCTGCCTTGAAAACAGACTGCTGCAGATCAAGAAGGTTGTTCTGATAAAGGTGAAAAGATAGTTGATTAATGACAATGCGATCAAGTGTTTTATGAAGAAATGGAGGAGGAAAAACAGGTCTGTATTATTTGAATTCCGAAGGGTTAACCTGGGTTTCTTTGGTAGCGAGGTCATCTTCTGTATCTTTTTTCAAAGTAATTAAAAACGGCTTAAAAAACGGTTGAATTTAGATTGAAAGAAAGTGTTTTTGCTGCAGAGATAGAAAAAGTGGAAGAGAAGAGAAAAGATTGAAAGGTAAATGAGGTCATCAGACGCCTTGTCAGCACGCATAAGGGGATAGAGTAGGATATGAAAAATGTATCAGAGATGTGACGCGGGGTTACAGAAAGGTTAGAAATAGAGCTAATTTTGGTAAATATGAGGTCAAAGTGGTTGCCAGTTTGTGAGTAGGTGGGGATGGAGTCAGTAAGAGTACAACGTAGGTAAGTAAAAGTAATAAGTTATCTGATTCTCTGTCTGGATTTTGGAGTCTCTGAGAAGTGGAGGGCCAGTTTCAAGGATGTTACATAGGAGGGAGTCTAATTCCTCTTGGAATTATGCCGCAAATATACTGCTGAATTATTGATTAAGTTGTGTTATTTTTAGAGTAAGTTGAAGAAAGTTCAAATCTTTTGTTAATTAAAATCCCTTTATTGATGTTCGATCTGCATTAGCTTATTGTTTTGGATTGTGTGTGTCCCTCCGCCACTACACTGTCACTACACTCAGCAGGTAGAGCAGTTTGTGTTCAAAATAGTAAACCCCGGCAGCCCTCACTACAGTATGACCCATTTTCTACACTTTTCTGGATCAACAGCAGACATTAACATTTACATTGAATAAAGTCCACTTGCATATTGTGAAGCTTCTAATAGTCTTCAGAATCGGGATGTTCAGTTTTATCAACTTCAATCTTTTTGTTTTTAATTATTCATCCATTATGCTTTTATGATCCTAAAATGGCTCAGAATAAAGTCCAATTTAAAGCATCCACAGTTCTATAACAATTGATCATGACAACGTCAGAAAGGAAAGGGTGATTCAGTTGACCTGGAGAAGGCTGCACTCCTGCTACATGTTCTGATTATTGTGTGTGTATTGTGTGTGTATCTTTATCTGTCACGTAGGATGAGTTCCATCCGTTCATTGAGGCTCTGCTGCCCCAGGTCCGTGCCTTTGCCTACACATGGTTCAACCTCCAGGCCAGAAAAAGGAAGTACTTCAAAAAACATGAGAAAAGGATGACTAAAGAAGAGGAGAGAGCAGTGAAAGACGAACTGCTGGGGGAGAAGGCAGAGGTGGGATGGATAGTAGAAATGTGATAATTACGGATTCATGGAAAACCTTTTTTTTGTTCAGTCATTTTTATTGACTGCTTTTACAATGTCATTGCGATCGTAGGTGAAACAGAAGTGGGCCAGCCGTCTTTTGGCCAAGCTCAGAAAGGACATTAGACCTGAATGCAGAGAAGACTTTGTCCTGTCAATCACTGGGAAGAAAGCTGCGTGCTGCGTCCTGTCCAATCCGGACCAGAAAGGCAAAATGAGACGCATAGACTGTCTCCGACAAGCTGACAAGGTAAACTGAATTAGTATTTCAATTCTGTATGGTTGGTAAATGCAATCGAACCTCAACTATGCATTGTTTTTTTCTTCTTTGATATTGATAGTAAAAATGGTTAAATCATAATGGTTTTATCAACAAGATGTTTGTGTCATAAAGGTAGACTTTTCCATATGTTGGATGTTTTAGAATAAGGGGTTTATTTTTCAATATGGCATTAAACAGTGAGCTAATTGGAGCAATATGTGTAAAGCACTGCTCAAACGTTTATGATTGAGATTAAAGTGTGTTTGAATGTTTCACTGTTAGTGTCTGAGTCTGTAACACACCATGTCATTGATTTATTATTAAGGAAAGACATCTGTATGCACAAATAGCATGCAAACACATGAGTGGTATTTATTAAGGGATATGTGTCACCTCCCACAGATTTCAAAACCAGCTGCGGCTATAATAAGGTGAACATGAAAATCATGGTACCCTTATAATAAACGGTTACAATGTAATCTTGTTTTGACAATTCCCACATAGTTCTCTAAAATGTCCAACATTGTGTTACACTGTCTGAAAACTTTAACATAGTTCAAACCATTTAAGGATAATGGTTAGCTGTTTGTCAGGTTTTCCTCATGTTCCCTATATTCCATATTACAGACATGCTTCAAGGTCTCACACACAAACACAAGTGTCTTCATGTATCCTTCTGTAAATGACATCATCCTCTTTTCTGACATATAATTAAATAATACATTCACAGTCAAACGTATGATGAGCAGTATAGTCCACGTTTAGAGTGATCCAGCATGCTTTACTCCACTGCTACACCCAGCCTGCAGTTTTCTGTCAGTACTGATGGGTTGTCTTTCCAAAGGTTTGGAGGTTGGACCTGGTGATGGTCATCCTGTTTAAAGGGATCCCGTTGGAAAGCACAGACGGAGAGCGGCTGGTTAAGGGAGGCCATTGCTCCAACCCAATCCTCTGCGTCCAGCCCAGACACATCGCTGTCTCCGTCAAAGAGCTGGACCTCTACCTCGCTTACTACGTACAGGAGAGAGGTATGAACCTACACACACTTTCACCAGACTGTGCTATCTATCTTCTTTTGTTAAGACACATTCTGATCCCAAAATGGCCCTCTAAATTAAATACAGCCAAACAAAAATTCTCCCATGTTTGTATGTAAGTGTAGGCTTAGAATTTGCTTAAACTTTGTAGCACTAGTCCGACATTTGAATTTTTTTTATAAATCTCAATGGATACGGAACAAAACTTCGTTAGATTAATATAATGTCAGTTAGTCAGTAATGTAGTAAAGTGAAGTAAAATAGTACCAGTACATGATGTACAGATACATGCAGTATATATTGTGGTATCATATTACAAGTATATGTAGTGTAGATGCATGCAGTATATAGTGTAGTAAAATGTAGTCAAGATAATTTAAGAATACAGTGTATTAAAAGATTACCAGAACATTTAGTAAAGATAATTGCAGGATATAGTGTAGAAATAATTGTGTAATACAATTGTACCATTACATGTACATATATACTACCGAAGCATGCAATATATAGTGTAGTAAAATAAAACTTGTTGGCTTTATGTAAAATATGCTTTCCCGATGCAGCAATGGTTGGACTGATCAAACACAGTCAAAGTGAACTCTAGTCGTATTATAACACCTCACTGGGAACTCACTGTACAACATTGTTCCAAAAATAACTTTCCTATGTAGAAGAAAAAGTCAAAATATGTATGACACCCACATCCTGCAGTCTTTCGTGGCAAATTAGGAAATTATGAGACATCTGGCTGGATGGGGAAATGATGACCTGTCTTTGTTCAGACATACGCTCTGGGCTCTTGTGTTATGGATTGTGTTATGTGCTGTCTTCTTGTGACTTATAGAGAGAGACCCCCTGGGACGCTATTGGGGTCCCTGTTAATTTGAATGTTTGTGTTCTTGTGTGCAGAATTTTCCTAACCAACCTAAATGTTTTTAATTGCCGCTCTATCAATGCTCATCACTGATAAGAAGTTGTGCTTGGTTTCAGAAGCCACATCATAGATTTTCACCAAAGTAGACTTGTAACTACAGAAATAAGGCAACAAACCTCATTGATAATGTGTCTTCAGTGCAGGAGACTCATATTCTCTTAAATAGCCCTCCCATATTAAAAACACATTTAGCACAGGCTGGGAAAACTGGGAGGGGTTGCTAAGTTGCTGTTGGGCAGTGTTAACGTTTATAAAATAATACAAAGTGAAAAGAAAATAATTATATAAATATGAATTTGTGTCATTACAATACATCTGTTTACATGCACTAGACATACAATTAAGAATAATATAATAACGTATATCAGAGGCATAGGGATTAGTGCATCAGATTTCTCAAATATAACTTCTAGAACATTCCAGGGTTTTAGATTAACCAATTAACAAAAAAACAACACATACAAAAGAGATGTATAACATTTCCTCCACCTTTACATTCTGTTACATCAGTGGGTTGTGCTCTGGAGGTTTGGCCCCACACATTATCACTCTGCTACAGGGAAAACACTGGAGCTGTCTGTATTTCTTTAGACCAATCACTATCTTCCTGGGCGGCTCTTAGCACAGGATGCAGCTAGTGGAGGAGGAGAGTGCTGCCTGAGATACGTGGACTATGGCAGGCTTATAGCCATAGTGTACATCTGGGGAGTCAGACTCTGTAGGAAGGTCATCACTGCTTTTCTTTTGTGTTATCAGCAGTTGCTAGAGTATAAATTAGATGCAGAATTTCCTGTACACTGGTCTTTATGCTTTCGTCATTCTTTACAGGTGTCGAAGAAGTTCTTGGTCACCAGTTAGCCTGAAGTGTGGATTGATTATTGAAGTGTGTTCCCTGATGGCACCTGAGCCATTGCGAAAAAGGCCTATCATTTTCATTTTTGATAGATAAGCCCACTGGTTTACGGATGTTAGGACACTGAGATTTTACTGCCAGAGTAAGAAGGGCAGTGAAGAATCCAGACAGAAAGCAAAACACATACATTATATTATGTCATAATTGAACCAAGAAAGGGTATTTAAGGCTAAACTCCACATCTCGGAGCTGAGAGCACAAACAAGAGGAGAGGCAGCAGACGCATGACAGGAGGAGTGCAAACAAAAAAGAGGAAGAGCTTTCAGGGACAAGTTTATGTTTGACCATGAGGATATGGAGAAGCTTCAGTGTAGTTAACTCTTAATCAGATGTCTTTTGACTAAATCTACGTCATTATTGAGTTGGACATTTTTTCCTCTTTTAGTTTAACTAACTATGAAGTGGACTCAGAACATAAACCCCCATCTCCTCTGAGGTGCAAGACCACCTCCCTACACTTTCGGTTTGGACTGGAGAACATCCCCTTTGCTGCTATTTATTTATTCCAAAAAACAGAGTTCCTCCTCTGGAGGCATGAATGTGTTCAGAAAGCAGCAATCGGTTAATAAGATATACTATCCTTAAGGTGGCGCAAAAAGAAAGCTGATGAAAGGTTCAAGGACATGATTGTTCATGGAGAAAAATAGATTTGCGGCTATTCTGTGGCTCTAAGCATCTACTTAAATAGTTGTTGAGATAATTGAGTCTGGAACCAAATGCTGTATTGAGCGTCAGACACTTTTGTAGAAAGAATAAGATGAGGATTTATCCATCTGGGACCAGGAAATCCAAGCCATATTTCCCTGATTTCTAGCCAGCAGTTTTATGTTTATTGTCATGAGATCTGTTTTTTTATTAGCTCTCTATGATAATCACCCTCTTGGAGCCACGATTATCCATATCTGAGTTCATACGCAGAGAATCTCTCAGAAGCTTCTTTATGGCATGGCATGGCTCTAAGAAATCCTTCAAGGCCTGCGAATGTTTTAAATGATACTCGTAGCTGCTGCTCTTTCTCATTGGTCGGTTGATACCACTTGTATAAATATGGTTAATGCAGCTATGAGTTCAAAAACAGAGAAAGAACGCAGCGTTCACATCTGGTTTGTATATTGTGGCTTCAGGAAGGAGTGTCACTCTGCAGTGTAACCTTGCACAGACACAACTCCAGCTTATATGACTGAACGGAATAGCGGTCGGAAGATACCAGACCTTTCTGAACCAAAGGAATGCTGATTGGTTCTGGGTTTGAAAGAGTGTTCATGCACATTCCCTCAACACTTGCTCTACTTATGGTGGAAACCAGTGTGCTCCCATGCTCGGCTCATGGAAGTCTGCACATATTGTGTCGGCAGAGTTAGAAGATGTGAGTGTCGTGCAGTTGTAAAGTGGGTTGGTATTTAGACTATGTGTTCTACATATTGGTGACAGTAACTTCTAAAGGACAACTCAATGATATTACAATGATTTCTAGCCATTTTCTTCCATGTTTATATTGAAGATACCAAAAAGGAAAACTTTTTTTTAACAAAGGGTCACAAGGTCATCGGATATCACCAACATATCATAACATAACTATACATAATTATACTCAGCAAGACTTTGAGAAATGACTTTGCCTTAAGTAGACTTGATCACTGCAACTTTGTCTTTACAGACTTAAACAAAAAGAGTACAACACGTCACGCCAGGTCACAGATCTCTGCACTGGCTTAGAGTATCACAATACATGTGTGACATGTTCATCAGTGTATACATGTATGTATGTGTTCATCAGGGACAGGGTAGCTGTCTAGCTGCGCAGAGGCAGCTTTCAGTTTCTATACTCCACAGATCTGGAATAAACTTCCAGAATATCTGAATTCTGCCTCAAGCCCTTTTCTTTTTAAATCAAGTCTAAAAACCTTAATGTTTACAGCTGCTTTTCCAGATGTCTTTTAACAACATTTGATTTGTATAGTTCTGCAACTCTTGCAGCATGCAACTGTTTTTACAATGTCAACTTTTAACTACCTTCTATCTGAATTGTTTTCTTTTCCCTTTTGTTTATTTTAGATATATTTGTGCTGTCTGAAATATACTATAAACATATACTAGCCTTAACCGTAAAGGGGCCCTATAAAGCTTATTTTAGGGTTTATATTTGTATTTTGTGCTTCATCTGGGACATTCCTCTTTTCACCCTCTGTCTGACAACAGAGCCCAGTCTGCTCTGATTCGTCAACCGCTTAGAGATGTCCACAAACCTTCACTGAAAGTAGCCAATAATAATGCTTTTGCAGGTTTTACAGCTGTCAAAATGTCCACCCTGACAATGATCTATTCTTAATGTATTGTTATGCCCTGCCCTCTACTGGCATACAGTGTGTACAACACTTGATTAGAGGACACTGTTTATATGCATCCATCAGCAGAGTCTGCCTGCTGCTGCACTGTAACTGTTGTTAAGGAAGGGCCCCAGGTCCATACACATTGTCAGACTGTGGACCTTCTTTACACGTCCCGGTCCTGCACATGGTATGCCTAGATGTACCAGTAGACTGTTGAGATAGCCAAGAATGCAAGTGTAAGGATTGTATGTTGGATTGTCACTGTTGTTAATTGCGGCCGTATGTGTGCTGTGTGGAGATGTTTGTCATAATGGGGTATTTAAAATTGCGCACATGCTAATCCCAAGTTTTGTCTGTGACAGAGCATAACAACGCAATGTACAATTTTCTCTCGCAACCTGAGACTGCGGTTAAAGATTCAAACGTTTAGGACAGACATCCCCCCATTAGCACTGTCAGTGGCTACATTCTTGAGACAAGGAGACATACTGGCTAACATTTTAAACAATTTCCCAGTCTGGGATCAATTAAGTATATCTAATCTAATCTAGACTAAACCTGGATAGATGAGGGGCAGTGTCCTTCACTATTGATGCCTATTTAAATCTCTTTCTTTCTGACTGTTAATATGGTAGCTGATTTATCGTTACCTTAAAGTGTTTAAATAAGTGAAATCTCTCTCTCTCTCCAGAAGCAGAGCAGAGCAGCAGTCCCAGTCGAACAGGAGTGGGTTCTGATCAGGAGGACAGCCGAACCACCACCATGGGTAATGTTGAGGCTCTTAATTAATACAGAAATATCAGTACACCTGGTTACACAAAAGGTTATGTTATGTTGGTCTTTTTTTACACAAGACCAATGGTGAAATGTAAATATCATTTGTGTATTTTCTGAAGTCTCTAAAATGATTACAGAATACTTCTGTACCTTTTAGATCAGATTCTGAAATGGATCATATTATATTTTAAAACCAAAGTATTTCTACTGTTGCTTAAGTAAAGGATCTCAGTTCTTCTTCCACCTCCACCTGCCTAAGACATAAAAAGACAGTCAGAAGTCTATGCAAGGTGTCAGATGATAGAACCATCAGTTATGCAGACATTTGCCATAACTATGATACACTAGTTCCTGTAAGGACCACTGCAGTTGGATTGTCATATCGTTTTTATAAATACTATTACATTTGTTTCAAAGAATATATTGTGCATAGCGAGATAATTGAAACTGTCGTAAAAATTGTATTACTAATTTACTGCTCTTACACATGACACGTGTCTAAATGCTGCTGTGTTTCCACAGAGGGTCCAGAGTTCCAGGACAGTTTTGTGACATCAGGAGTTTTCAGTGTCACTGAGCTCGTCCAGGTATCAAGAAGTAAGTGTCATCCACAAACAAATATTTGCGAACAAATATTGCGCTTTCTGATATTTTGGACATTGCACAATTCTATTAATTGTGCAGCCTTAATCTAAGTTTTTGTCTAATTATATTTATTATCTGGATAATGAACATTTGATTTGTTACACACTCAAACAAGGAGGGAGAAAAGCAAGAAAATGCAATATAAAAAGAGAGCAGATGAACTGATATTCTGTGTGTGTGTGTGTGTGTGTGTGTGTGTGTGTGTGTGTGTGTGTGTGTGTGTGTGTGTGTGTGTGTGTGTGTGTGTGTGTGTGTGTGTGTGTGTGTGTGTGTGTGTGTGTGTGTGTGTGTGTGTGTGTGTGTGTGTGTGTGTGTGTGTGTGTGTGTGTGTGTGTGTGTGTGTGTGTGTGTGTGTGTGTGTGTGTGTGTGTAGCTCCAGTAGTCACAGGAGTTGGACCTAGTTTCTCTATGGGGGAGCTCCAGGGTCATCTGGCCTACGATCTGAACCAGTCTGTCAACCAGCCAGTCAGCCTCAGACGATCACTGGCCAGTACCTCATCCAGCGGGTAACACACACACACACACACACACACACACACACGCACACACGCACACACACACGTACACGCACACGCACACGTACACACACACACACACACACACACACACACACACACACACACACACACAGATAAAAAAAAACATGTATGTTTATCTGCAGGAGTAAGCGCCATAAGTCTGGCTCTATGGAGGAAGAGGCTGACAGTCCGGGGGGGGAGTACTACCACTCCCCTTCCTCTCCCGCCAGCAGCTCCAGGAACTGGACTGATGACATGGAAGGAGGTAACAGACGTATAGTGTCCAGTGTCTGTACGTGGAGACATGAATGTAATTATAACAGCTAATTATTATTAATTACTCAAATCATTGTTCAACACCCTCTCTATGAACAGCAGGTGCACTTGTATTGAGCTATATCAATGAAATGCACTTGACTCTGTATTTTGTAGCACTGGAATAAAAGACAACAGCAGGCTTACTCTTTTTGATTCTGTTAATTCTCAAAGATTCACTTCAAAGTTCCATGCCAGTATACTTGAGTTAGTCCCTGTAAACCATGGCCTCTCGTGGTTCATTGCTTAAATATATTAGAATATAACATTAGAATCTGTGGTATTCATTTAAGGAACTGAAACTACACTTATTCCAGCCAAACTACACACAAGAGTCATTCTCTGACACTGGCCAAAGATGGAGGTTGTGGTTATGGCTGTTGTCACTAACCTCCCAATGTTTGACAGTAGAGAGCAGACAGCTTAATGCTTACACACTAATACAGTGTGTAGAGTTACAGCACATTGGTCAGAATTTTGATAGAGCTCATAAATCAATTTAGCACATTCTCTTAATAGTCGTTAAGATAGCGTCATGGTGATCTGCTTTTAAATTGTTTTATTGTGTGTTTATTGACATTTTTTCAACATTGGAGCAGGGGCTAAGGCCAAAGTCCAAGAAGTGATTCATTTCAAGTGTCACTGTGATGAACTGCCATGAATTATGAATATGTGCAGGAACTAAAGAATAAGTCTGTTTTAGGTCTATCTCCACCAGTGAAGAAGGCAGAGCTGGACAACCCCTCTCCCCAGGAAGACTCACCAAGAATGGGTTCCTTCACTCAGCACCATCGGCCAGTCATAGCGGTTCACAGTGGTCAGTAACACACATACATAAATACTGTATATATATATATATATATATGTATGTATAATTTACTTAGAACAGCATGTCATTTACCATATTGTTCCTTCTCTCCCTCTTCTTTTTTCTGTCCAGGTCTTTCACGGAGTCCCCACCCCTCCTCATCTATACATTTTCCACCTTCCTCCTACTTCCCCCACGGAGCAATCCGCTATCCTCCTCACCTGACCCAGGACCCCCTCAAAGATCTGGTGTCATTGGCCTGCGACCCTGCCAATCAAACCCCCAGCTCAGTGAGTACAAGCAGTCAAAAGAACAAAAACCTTAGCAGGCTAACAGCTAGCGTTAGACAGGTTACTGCATGCGAGAGTCCAAAACCACTCTGGTTATGTACATGATCCAATACGAGCTAGCTGCAGTGCCATACGTTTCAATTGCAGCAACAGCCATGTGCATTATCTACAGACAAATAAAGTAACAGTTGATACAATTTAGACAGAAGTTCAAACGTTATTATAAAAGAAAATGAAACATGTAGGTCTGTTTTAAAAACAAATATATTTAACTCATTTTGAAGACTACCTGAAAAAAGTCTACAATAATGAATGTCTTTTTCACATTGTAAGTCAATGGGAAAAAGTATTTTTGGGCTCAATGGTTAGTTGTAGTACCACCATTTGCTACTACAATGCCTGGGGGCTTGGTCAGGGCAGCTCCACTTCTATATATTTGTGTCTGAGGTCAGACTGGCACTACTATCACCTCTATAGGAACATGGTGTATTACAAGACATGCTAAATTCAATAGATGTCTTTGCAACACAATATATAGGAGTATAGACATAATGTCAACACTGTAATGTTTTCACATTCTGTTAATGATTTGAGGTCATTTTTTCTTACACATTCCATCTTTATAGTACATCAGTGATTCAACACATTTCCAATATTTAATTGTCAGTGTGTATTTATTACTTTTCCAGCTGAATGGCAGCAACCAGGTAAAAGTGCCCAGTCACTACATCACCTCTCAGATGTTGGCACCAACTGGACCAGCACCTTCCCTGGCTCCTCCCCCATCCTCCCTCCCCAGGCCGACCCTGCCTGCGGAGTCAAAGGCTACCACCACCTCCTCTGATGGGGGAGCAAACTCCCCCACATCACCCAGTAAGTGTTCAAAACAAACTCCGGTTGACAGTATTGTTGCGTGGCATGGCAAATGAAGTACGGCTATAGATTAAGGTAGTGTGCTCCTGTTTGAATGAGTGAATGTTTGTTTCACCTGATGAGCAAGTGTATAAAAGAATCTGCTACCATTGTATAATAGTGTGTGTGAATGCTGACTAGGGTAAAAGCATTTTGAGTGGTCGCAAAAAGTAGAAATGTTGTAATAAAACAGTTATAGAAATATGCAATTTGTGTATTACCTTATTAATAGTAGTTGTAAATCAACAAATGACATATGAAGTAACAGCCCAACAATAAACGAGTTAACATGCCAGTATGATCCAAACTAATATATCCAGTTTGATATAGTAATTTATTCCATATCAAAATGTTAAAGACATGTTTCCTCATTATGATAGCCAAGGCAATAGTTATTTTGTTTGTCTCACTTCGTCAGAAGAAATGACTTCCTGTTGACATAATGGCACACTTATGGACTGCAGTTGTTACAAAATAAAGCACCCCCACTGTGATTATCACGGTGATGAACGTTTCATTTAAATATTTTTTATCTGTACTGTAAGGGACTCTTTTTTTATATGGAAATACATATTTGTATTTATAGATATATAAACAATTTAAACATATATATATATACTATATACTAAATACAGTAAATATTATAAATATCATATATTACATTCACTTAGAATGCCATTGTGCATTGTAAATGTATGACTTTAATTAATTTAATGTGGTAATCTGTGTGAACACAGCACTGGTTGGATTTCTAGAGTTCACCAACGTTAGATAATAATCAAACACATTTAAATAAATCAATTGAAACTGAGTGGATTACAGTAACCCTAACAATGTAGTTAGTCACCAGTTGTAGTTCCTTTGTGATATGGACACATTCTCTAGTACTGCCTCATGTAACTTTACAAGTGACATGGAACTATATAGAGACAGTATGAGACTGATGTTGTTAACGTAAATGCCCTCAGCATACTCGGCCCCTGGGACACCCCCTGCCAATCGCACCTCCTTCGTTGGAGTCACCCCCCGAGACCCAGGTGGACTCTACCAAGCCCAGGTTAGTATGGTTAATTTGACATTGGCAAGCTCAGAATGGAAACCCGTACTATTAGAGATTTGAGAACCTCCAGGATGTGTTAAAGCTATATACGTGGAAATACAACTAGGTTGTCAGGGATGTTTTATGTGAATGAAATCCAATCTCAGTTTCACTTAATTTATATTGATAGGCGAATGAGTTTGAACAAAAAATGTTGCAAATATCAGCCGGCATTTTTCCAATTTGGTGAAACCGACCCCCGAACTGGAAATTATAAAAAATTGACGTCACCACGTAAAATGTTTCTGCTGAAGGCTAACAGGTTCATTGCATGTCACACTCAAATGAGTCTAATAACCCTAACCCTAACCCTAACCCTAATCTGTGTCAAACTGTTTGATTGTGATTGCAGAGGCAGTCTATGCCTGCCTGATGAATGGTTGCTCAACAATTTAAGTTAAATCCTGGCCAAAAGTTTTGATCATTCAAAAAAATAAAATGTATTTGAAAGTTCAAGTTTTGATCCTGAACTTTAAAAAATACAATTATGTATTCAAACGAAAAATAAGTATTTGAAACGTTTTTTGAGGGTGATTTGATTCAGTTAAGCAATTTTTTTGATTACATTTTTGATTTCACTTTTCATTTAAAAATAGCTTGAGTCATAACACGGCTGTTGGATTTACAGGTACAGTAGGAGCCAACTGGCGCACCTGATTTAAAAAAAAACGTGTTCATGCAGCGGTTCCGCTGGAAGGTAAACAGTTTTTGACACACACACACACACACACACACACACACACACACACACACACACACACACACACACACACACACACACACACACACCCATACGCTGGCCATAATGTCTCGCTGCCGAAGCTTAGTTAGAATTTCATGTTTTGTATGCTGATTGGAAAGAACAACAGTTCAAATGGAAATACATGGACTGGGTGTTCATTGGAAACCTTCATACCGGACTTATTTATTCATCAGACCAGGTAATGAGTGGGTCAATCATGTCTACAAAGCACCTCAGTGGCTTAAAGTGTTGGACTAGCCTCTACAATAAAGGCAAAAACCGTTTACCTTAGATCAGACTTGGAACCTGTGCACAACCATACAAGTTCCTTATATCCTTATATCAGCAGGGCTAACTGGATCCTACACAACAGCCCCTCGTTTTAAATAGTATTTAAACAATGCCAGGGTTAGCTACTGTATTCTGAATCAATTGGTTGGTCTGTAGTTCACTTAGTCAAACCTTGCTCTTAAATTCATGACACCTTCAAAGTCTTTGGTTTTGGAAGCTGTAACTTAAGTGAACGTGTCTCACAGTAACCTTAGAGAAAAAGCTTAAAATGAAAACCTTTAGATGTTCAAACACTACAGAAGCAAATGCAGGCTATGTTCATGATGTAATTGAATTGATTGTCCTGACAGTTTAATGGGTTATTACATTTAGGGGTTAACAGTGTGGTTAACAGACCTGTGGATCATTGTTCTGTAGGGCTCATGGCTGTTGGGTTAGACTAACAGTACACCTGTAGGTTAATGATGGGCTGGTCTTTGCTACAGACTGAAGTAAATCAGCAAAGATGTATATTCTTCTGAAATGTTTGATAAAGTCAGTTAGCGCATCAGTTAGAAGTGAACGTTTATTTTGTCTTTGTCTCTCTTCCAGTCTTGGTATCTGGGCAACTGATGGACATGTGGAGGAGAGACGCTTGTCCTGGCAGTACGGTCCTGGAGGAAAGCAAACAATGCTGTCAAGACATCACAAGAGGGAAAATATATTCATCTTTGTAGAAGCATACACATATATAAATATAGTATATCTATATATGTGTATGGACCCAGAAGAGATAGCCTGGTTGAAGAAGATGCTGCTCTCACTCACAGCCATGTGACACTCAATGGTTCTCACCGACGTGAGTTCCAAGTGAAAGAAAAGGAGTGATGTGGATGAACTGGACCAGAACCAGGCCTCCAAACAGCAGAACCTAAGAAGCCTGTTCCCAGGATGAGGCCTGTTTCCCTGCAATGGATTTCAGCCTTTACCCCTGAACCCTGGCTCTCTACACTAAACCCAGTACAGGACCTCCTCCCTGGGACAGATAGACCTCATCCCCCCCTCAACACCCAGAATGCCCCTCTCCGCTGCAGGTGCTGCTTATAATATATGCAAATAAGCCTCCCCTTTTTTCTGAACCGACTAGAAAGAGAGCTCCTGTTGTTGATATGTAATGTTTCTTTTGCACTTTTTATTATTGCTATGAAAACTTAGAGTTGAGACAGAGCATTTCTTTCTCTCTTCCCACCTAAAGACAGAGGTTTTGTCTTTTTTATTGACAATCATCGGCCTGAAACCATTAAGTTGCTTTGCTAAGCTCATGTTTTTAAGACTGTTTGATTGTGCTTTTTTATCAGAAAAACAATGAGTAATAGTGGAATATAAGAGCTATATTCATGCCTCCTCCAACACGACACACAATGCTACAGTTGGACAGAGTTCAAACCCCCCGACATCCTGCTGCTTCCTTCCCTTCACACCTGATCATTCTGACAGAACTTTAGGCAGTTGCAACTGGCTGCTGAACTCATGTGTTTGAGACTGTAGCATGGTGTGTGTGTGTGTGTGTGTTTTGGTGTGTGTGTGTGTCAGGTTGTGTGAGATCGGTTCCTGCATTTCCACACTCATCCCTGCTCTGTTTTGGGGAGCTGTGTTAGTGTCTCAGAGAACACGGTGTGGTTGGTTGATCGGAAAGTGATTGACTTGATGATGTGGCATGTCACCGACTTAGCAGGCCGTAGCGTTTCCATGGTTATGGCAGCAGGTCATGTGCATACCTTGAAGTGAGCACAATATCCAGGTTTGTTGTCCAGCTGTACAGAGTGGTGTTGACAGGACTGTGGAAATGGATAGCATTAGGGTTAGGGTTATTGTTAGGGTTAGGCACAGTGCTTTGTCACCAGTCAAGCCCTGATGGTTTAACATTGGCAGCAGTCAACAGATCAAGCATTTCATACCAGAGTTTCCTTGCTCTCCTGTGTCCAACGCTGACACAATATTTGCATCAAGTGCTTTAATGGAGAAAAGCAATAACTTGGCTTTTCACATCTTAATATATTCAACTATCTTTTGAAACAAATGTAATATCTTTCATGCTGCATCTTATCTTTGATTAGAATCCTCTTCATCACTCTTAAGGTTAGCATTTATTAGAATCCAAACATGAATCACCATATAGCTCGTAGTTCATAGAACAACTCGTTCAGTCTGTGTGTAGAAAGAGAATTTAATTATGAATTCAATAATCTTTGACATTTGTCTGTAAAATTCAATGCAAATGTGCGCCCTGGCCTTTTGCTATCCCGCACATGATCTCTTTGGGGATAAAAACATTAAATATAATAGATTTTTAAGATGTAATATTTTATAATCTGTGCCATATTTTAGTCTCCAAGGCTTTTCAACTACAGGGCAGTCTATTGAAATATGTTGCCGGGGATGTGGATCAGTGTTAAGGCGTGGGCAGATTGATCTCAAGTGTTTCTGAAGATGTTAATCAGACTCGTCTCAGAAGTGGTTGCACACTGTCTTTGGAAAGATTAAAGGTTTTCTAATGTCAAGCCAAAAAAATTCAATATTTCCAACCACTGCCGTAGTCTGAGTGTCAAGTTCAGAAGAGTAGCAGTGTTGCACAGCTAGTGGAAATATTGGATTTATATATTGGTTTCTCTTATTATTTAATGAAAGCACTCCTTGAAAAGGGTGTTGGCTGTAGTTAAAGGACACATTTTGAAAGGTGCTAAAGGAGTAACGCTGCATTCACATGATACGCCATTTGCTCTTTGCCCACCACAAGGTTTGGCACAAAGCCTGGAAGCTAGTTAAAGGGGCTCTATTATGCTTTTCTGGGTGTTCCCTTTCCTGTAGTGTTATATAGGTTTTTGTGCATGTAAACGGTCTGCAAACGCTAAAATCCCCAAATTCCCCCCAGAGGGAGTTTCTCTTCCACACTCCCCCTCCCCCCCCCCCTGTCTGGAACGCCTCGATTTGACTCATTTGTTTACTTTTACGACACAGTGACATCACTATGTAACATTGACGCTTAAATTGGCTGGCGCTCCAACACATTGTAGGTGATAGGCTAAGGGGCGGGACAGCTCTAAGCTTCTGTCCAATAAAAACGGAGCCGGCCAGCTAACCAATCAGAGAAGTCTGGGCTCTGGTTTCAGACAGAATAAGACAAAAATAAAGAGCTTTTTGAACATTAAAGCATTTAACATGTCAAAGTAGAGGCACAAAATACAACTATCAACCTGAAAAGGAGAAGAATAAGGCCCCTTTAAGTTTTCTTTCTAGTGTTATGTCCCCTGCTAGGGGTTAGCAGTATTCATGGTCATAGTTTAAATAATTTGAACTTCGAGCACAGCAGTCTGCGTACATTTTGAGCGGTGCGCAAAGCCTAGGGTTGCCAGGTCATGCGCCACCACTCTTTGCGTAGAAACACAATGGCAACGTCAGCACAGAGACACGATTACCGCGTTTCATGTGAATGCAACTTAACACTCAGACAGTTCAGTAAACATCAGCACACAGCCTGGGTGTGCTCGTACCACAGCTCCATTTCCCTCTCATATCTTTCCTTTCTCTTTGTTTTTTAGGATGTAAGTGTCAAACTGTGTTGGAACAGGTGTGATCTTTTTTTCCACTTGCACGTGTGAAGGATTGGGTTTGCGTTCTGATCACAAGTTGTCCTTTGCTTTTTCTTTCCCCAGGGTTAGGGTTTAGTGATTTTATATTGAAGGTGCTGATATGAGCTGGGTTTTGGTTAAAGTTGGCTTAAAGCTGATGTATAATGCATGGTGCTGCCCTGGTGTCTGTGTTGACCTAATGAATGCATGGCTCAAACTGATGATACCTCTCCCTCTCTACCCTGCGCCCCCCCCCTTCCTCCCTCCGACAGCAGACAGCAGTGGATCGAAGGGCTGTCTATTTCTTTACACTTTAATAATAGCCCTGTTATTATACTTCTATTTTGCACGATATTTCATAAAACACATTATGTGCCTTGCCTTTAGTTAAAGAACAATAATACATTATATAAAGTGATTATACTTTTCATGGTACAGCTGGTAGCACTTATAAAACAAAAAGAAAAAAAGCTGCATGTGTGGTTGCTTGACATTAACCAGTGTAGCAGTGTATTAAAGAAAGCTTACTTTAGCTTCTGCGCCCAACTAAAGGCAGCACTGTTTGACAGTGGAAGGAAAAGTCCACATTTTGGGGATTACATGTGCCTGTTATCAGACTCAGAGTCACATGACTTGCCTCAGCCCGCACACAGTATGGACATGTTTAGCTCAGATAAACATGTTGCCGTTGCATTCAAGTACATCTTCCACTTTTCATCACTTCGCCACTGACAAGGGTCATAAAGCACTGTCCTGCTTCAAGGAGGCTGTATCAAATCTATAATCTGATCACATGACCCAAGATAATTACTCAATGACAGATAAGCAAACTGAGATGTGTGAAAACTCAGAAAGTGGACACTAAGTTAAGTTCAACAATGAACTGGACACAGAAAGTTCTTATTAGAAGATCTTTTTCTGGGTAAAACTAGAAAAAGCAACTGTAGCTCCCAAATTCATGGACTGTTCCTCTAAGTGTTGATTTTTCAAAGACATCCCCCCTCGATGATTTTGTTTTCATAGCTGATAATGATGCAAACCCATGGATAATATTTATTGCAGGGAAAAGTCTTATACCATATTATGAATATTTTGTGGCCAAGCCACTGAATCCCATGTAAAGGAAACATGTTAAACACTCTGCAGCACTTACACCGTCCATTTGCCTGAATGGCGACTTTGTGACGAATGTGATCGAATCATGTGATAAGATACTACTAAGGTCATAGATGAGTTTGTGTTTAATATGGATGCATGCACTTAACACTATTGCTCTACTTGGCTTTTAGGTTATATTTTAGTTATTTCTTGAGTTTTTATTGTTATTATTTTGCTTTTAGCATTAGTTTTAAACAGAACCGTGTGTGCATAAATATGTACACTCGTAAAAAGGATACAAAGGATGTATAGAATGTTACAGCGTGTCATGTTTTCTCTTAAGATGGTGGCCAAGCCGCACAATGAGGGACCCATGAAATGGGAAAGGTTTAGCCCTGAGAGGGATGATGAATGATGAAGGTGAGAATTGTAGATGGTGAGAATTGTAGATGGAGACAGACAATTTTGTAGTCAGTCTAAGTAAAAGTTACTAGAAAGTTACTAAACTAGAATCCATAGATCCACTCAGACTGCACAATCTGCTGTTACTGTTTAGATTCAAGTACACAGTGATAGACACTGAAGTCACACTGATGGCAGCTGACAGCAACGTCCTCTCCCAGGACCAGGATCAAGTCCTAGATCAGATCCTAGGTCAGATTCTGGTTTAGGTCCTGGGTTAGATCCCCGATCAGATCCTAAGGTACACCCAACGTTAGATAGTGGATCACGTCCTGGGTCAGATACAAGGTCAGGTCCCGGATTATATCATAGGTCAGATTCTGGGTCAGGTCCTGCGTCAGATTCTAGGTCAAATCCTTGGACAAGACCTGGGTCATGTCCTGGGTAGCATCCTAGTAACGTCCTGGGTCAGGTCCGAGATCAAATCCTAGGTCAGGTCCTGGGTCACATCCTAGGTTAGATTCTGGGTTAGATTCTAGGTTAGGTCCAATATCTAATAAATACAGACATTTATAACATTATAAATAATATCTCGAAAAACAAAAGTGTGCTGAGTTGAGAATATTGTGCTCATCACATTGTGCTCTCCTCACTTTCTCCGCTCTATTCAAATATACCAGCATGTTAAGGACATGGAAAATGAAAAAACAAAACAAGCAGTGCCTATCATTTTACTGCAAGCTTTAAGTTATGTTGTATGCTGTGTTCAAGCACTACATGATCATGTGACACACTCGTATGGTGCTCAGCCCTGGCCTGGGGAGGTGGGCTGTGCAGGTCCTGAGGTAACAAGCCATAAAACAACCCAAAGAGCTGAAGAAAATCTAGAGGAAACACTGACAGACTGTTCATAATGCTCAGTGGATTCACCATTCTTCATTTAGGCTGGCGTATGTTCAGGGACGGACCTGTGTCCTATTTCTGCCTCCTTTCAGGATTACACTAGAAAAAGGCTGTCCTGTTCCAAATGCAGCTAAAAGATGTGGTGGTACACTTCACACAAGGCTACCAGAGCAGAACATTATTGATTTTTGTATACATTATTGCATCATACTGAGTTGTTACTTCACTACCTTGTCATTATTGTTGCTTTATCTTCTCTAGCTGTTATGGTTTGAGGTTCTGGATACGAATGAAAAACAACAGCCGGTCTGGACACTAAGGATCTCCTTTACTACAGTATGTTTCGCCGCACATCTTTGTACCTATACAAATCTAAAATAGATTGCTGAAATGGAATTGGGCATTTGTTGAGTAGAGAAATAGCCAGAAGCAGATATATTAAAACGTAATCCCATCTATCATAGTGAGAAAATATATGTAAATAACATCTTTAATCAACTATAAATTATGGGACACATAAATGGAGATTAATTTGTCATAAAGAAAAACGCATTGTTTTTTAGTGATTATGTTCAGCATCCTTTTAGCATTTAAAGTGAATTAAATACTAATGAATTGAGATCCAGCAGATACTTTACAATCTATCATTTGTTATCTTGAATATTTTATATTGGATAAAGTCGGTTATCGGTAAGTGATTCTTTTCCATCACTTTGTTAAAGAGGCGCAGCCAATGCAACAGACTTGGTCCTCAGTGGTGTGGTGGCTATCTGCTAGCACCGCTAGTTAGAGGTTAACCTTAGTAAGGCTGAACAACCTAAGGATAGATCCATGACCACAAACTATGAGACTGAAAAAGCAAGTGAGACCAAGATCCAAAGAAACACCTCGTATTGCCACAACAACCTTTTTTTGAGGTTGTAACTTCTACGATGTATTTTTAAGCAGTTCCTAATTTCATCCATAATATTTTGGACTGACTTTGGTTTGTGAACCTGTGTTGAGTGTTACTACCACACCTTTATGTTGCTTCAATTTGAAACCAGTGTATCCCATGCAGTAGTGTTAACAAATCAGTAGAACTGCTTGTAGTTTTTCTCTGATGGCAGGTTCATGAAAAATATGCACCGTAGGAATGGTTTCTATGAAAACACCTCATCCAATATCTGTCAAATGTTCTAATTTGTGTTATCCATTGGGATAGAGTTTGGTGTAAAGTTCCCTCTAGATTTGTCTTTACTCTGTGGTACTAACTAAGTGCTGTTCTGACCACTGTTAGCAGAGAATTACCAAAAATGTTGTATCAAAATCATGCTTTACTTTGGGTTGGGGTATTGTAAGTGAACGGTAGTGTTGCTGTTTGTTAGCAGCTGATCATCTCTGTCTGCATGAGAAAGAAAGGATATCTATACAGTTTTTGAGGGCTCTTTTCTATAAATTATTATTCATATTCAACCTGAAAACCTCCTATATGTTTCTTTTTGCTTTTTCTAAGTTGAATGTCTTTTTCTGTAATCAGACTCACAGCAGTTTGAAAACCTCTCTTTATTACCTAAAATCTGTTTTTTGATATTGTTTTCCTGACATATTGATTCCTTTGTTACCTGTACACCTGTTTACTCCATGTGCTGAAGACGGTTTATAATGAACAAAAACTTTACATTAGAATGCAGTTGCAATTTTTTAAGCATTTATTTCTCTAACTTTTCAGATACTATAATGGACTGCTTTGCTTGCTTTCAGAAATATATATCCCTTACATCAGAGAGAGCATAAAGCTTTCATCAGTTATTGCATGACTACAGTCCCCAAAGACCACAGCCCTTTTACATGAACTGTACATCAGGACATTATATATGGGAGTCTTTGGCAATCAAGAAAATCAGTTCTTCCAATACCTCAAAACAATATAAAAGACTGAGAGCAAGTCTATTATTTTCCATATTGGAATAGTGTGAATTATCATACCACTAATACCACATCCTATAGTACCGTTTAAAGATATGAAAGTTCTTTACCATAACTTTCTTGTCCAATTAAGTTGATATGCAATTACATTTCCCACCTGACAGCCAATCTGAAACACACAATAATGTATGACTTGCCATCCCAATATAAGAAAATGATAGCATAGGTAGAGGCCAGTAGTGTTTCTTTTGTTCCAGATTGATGTTCACTGTGGAGAGGGCTGTAGCTCTGGACTGGATGTAGTTTGTAGAAGCTTGAACCTTTTCCTTTGGAAGATAATGTCAATAATCAACCTTAATTTGCATGACGTAAACTTTTCCTCTAAGGCTGCATTAAGACAGGGACTTCTGACAACTTTCTGTTCCTGTTTGTTTGACTGACAGCTGTCTGAACCAGTGTTTCTGCCCTAATGTTATTCTGCTGTGGGGGATACCAACATATTTGATGATATGTCATTATAACCATACTTAGCCATTGCTATCAGCAAATGCTGATTATTCATTACTGGAAATGAGTATGTTTCCCTATGCAAAAATATACCATTAATAAACAAGCTATACCACAACTCAGCCAAATGGACCACCTGTTTGTTCATTTGATACAGAGCGTTGGTCAAGTGTGTTCTGCACTCACACATTCATTCATATTACCTTTTTCTTTTGTAAGATGGGTCAGGGGACTTGATTCTTGGTCAAGTTTCTGATACCTAAAAGGTTGTTTATTGGCTATTTGTAACATTTGTGGGACAAGAGAAACAGTAATGATGTCTGGATAACTAGGTTACATTTTCATTAAACTCACAATCAAGCCCAGTTTGTCCAGCCAGTAGTTTATACAGATTAAGTTTATACAGATTTTAAGTTAATATCACGCCTTGACAAACAGCAGAGCAGCTGCTAGTTGATTGTGTGACAGACATCAGGTCAGGCTTAAAAAAAATAGCTCAATACAAACCAACTGCAGGATATAATTAAAGGTAAACACATAATTTAACCTTTGTAATACTCCATCAAGCTATTTTATTAGTCACATGAAATCATACAAGGTACTGCTTTAGAGAAATTGAAACTTCTTAAAGCACAAACCAACCCATTCCGATATTCCTGGATCCAGCAAAGACTTGTGAAATAACGTCTCCAATGTCCATTTGGAACCCGATGCAGACACAGAGTCTGCCCAGCGCTTCATAATGGACATTGGACCATCAAGGACATTGAGATGACAGTAGTGTTTGGTAATCACAACGTTGTGGAAAAAATCTGCCACTTCCTTACAGAGCCCCTCCTCCAACACACACAAACGCGCACATGACCAATGAGGGCACGGGATAAATTTGTGCAGAGATGGAAGGCTGACAGGCAGGTAGGCCATCCAGTTATTTTAGCCGGGCCGGCTAAAATGATTGGTCGTGCTTTTTATAGTACTACGGCTTCCACAGATGACATTTCTTTATGGATTTTTTGTCAAAGCACTTAAGATATTCATTGCTATCGGGATGTTAAGAGCATTCCATGGAATATAACAAAAAGTGTATCTCGAGCCGGTTTCTCAAACTTACCTACCCCACCTTTAAATGCTACAAGAAGTCAGGGATATGATTTTTTGATTAAAGTTTATTCATTTTGAAAAAAAAGGTAAATCTGTAATCTGTATAACCTGACCATCAGAGGTGGGAAAAGTATTCAGATCCTCAGATCTTGTACTTAAGTAAAAGTAGAAGTACTACAGTGTAGAATTACTCTGTTACATGTAAAGGTTCTGCAATCGAAATGATACTCAAGTAAAAGTAGAAAAGTATTGGCATCAAAATGTACTTAAAGTAACCAAAGTAAAATTACTCATTGTGCAGATTGGTCCATTTCAGAGTAATATATATGATATGTTTGATTATAATTATTGATTTATTAAAGTGTTCTCAAAGCTGGTAAAGGTGCAGCTAGTTTGAATGACTTTGTATACTGCAGGGTAGCTTGTGAATTTACTCCAGGTGGAACTAAAGTCTGATTTAAGACTTGATTATATTTCACATCATTCATCCACATCTGTTGAGTAACTAAAAGTATTAAATACATGTAGTGGAGTAAAAGTACACGATTTACCTCGGAATTGTAGTGGAGTAGAAGTGCAAAGTAGCATAACATTGAAATACTCAAGTAAAGTACAAGTACCTCAACATTTTACCTAAGTACAGTAGCCTACTTGAGTAAATATACTTATTTATTTATACCACTGCATACATGCCAACCTTTCCAAATCCAAAAGAGGTAGGTTTGCGCGCGGCAAATGTGCATGCCCAAACTAGGTAATCAGAAGAAATGGAACCCCAGTAATTACATGTAGAAACCATGTATTTAACATATATTACATCATTTTATGCATTTTTCAGAAAAAGTGGTAGTTTGGTAAACAGTGACATCAACGACATGTTTGGTCTGTAAAATGCACGAAAAGTAAAAGAATGGGAGATAAATATCCCAAAGTCTCCACATTTTATTATATTTTGTGTGTTTCTGGTCCTCTTTCAGTTGAGACAGTGTAGATGAAGGATGTGTCAGGATGTAGAACTCTTGTGTGAACATTGGATAAAGCCAGGTTCATATTCTTGTTTCATGTTGTTGACATATTAGAGTCAAAGGTTTGCACAGAGCGATATATCTTTGTGTTGCGCCATAAATCAGAAAATACTGCATTAAAAAAGTCATTTCCTGCATGTTTTTGCAGTGTGATATAAATAATGTACAAGCTTTCAGATTGCTGTAGTTCACTAAGCAGAGACATTAACGACATGTTTGGTGTTGAAAATGTCCGAAAAAGTGAAAGAATGGGAGATAAATATCCCAAAATCTCAAAATTGTATAATATTTTTTTTGTGTTTGTGGTCCTCTTTCAGTTGAGACACTGTAGGATGCTTCCGGAAAAGACCAAACACTGGATGTCTTTCAGTCGCCAACATGTGTTTTCGAGACACTGATATTAACGGGGAAACCCTGCAGGACCCAAATGCCTCGTCTCTGTTCCGCTAAACTCTTTTGGGAGTGATGACTGGTTATTATCAGTCCCGGGGGACTGCGGCAGGCTGGCTTGACTGTGTTTTCCGAAGTGGAGGCTGGCTTGACCGCAGTCCCGGGGGTAACGCTGCCCTTCCTCTGCACGTTGTTTCACTTTCAGAAACACAGAAGACTGTTTGTAGGATGGGATCACAGACACGCTGCAATCGGTTTCCGCTAAAAGTCGAGTCCAGTGTCTATGGAGTGTCATTTACATTTTTTATAATTTGGGAAGAATGAAATTCGGTAGGAAAAGCCGGCTAAATCGGTAGGCGGTAGAAACATGTCACAAGCGGTAGACTACCGCCCAAATCGGTAGGGTTGGCAGGTATGCCACTGCAGACCATGGTGAAAATATGGAGTAGAGTCAAAAAGGTGAAATTCTTGAATAATGAAGAAACATTCAAACAAGCACCAGCAACTAAGCTAAAAATCCTGTTGCTGTTTCCTTTATGTGAAAGGATGGAGGTTCCACTCCAGTCGGTAGGCGGCGGTAAAGGCTTTATGTTTGCCGTTAAACAGCCGTTAAACATCAAGAAGGAGGACCGTTCAGGTTCCGTTTCCAGGGTCGTACAGTTGGCGGGTGAAAAGCGCCAAATCCAAAATATACTTCAGTAATAACAACAACAACAATGTGCCTGGTCCTTGTGAAGGAAATGATAGCCTCCCAGTAAGAATAGTTAACCGCTTTATTAACGTTAACGTGTCAGTTTGTTCCCCGATAAAAGACTCGTTTATTAACAACATGGAGGAGCTGTTTTGCAAAGAGCTGCAGGTGAACGTGAGGTGCAGAGACTGCGAGGACAGGTGAGACGTTTTAACACACACCTGTCAATATAGCTACAGACGTTTTAACCTAACTCTTACAAAGATAAATACGTTTAAACTTCTGTATCCTAACCTAGACGATGTAACATTACTCTAAGCTTAGCTAGCTACAGGTGTTTTAACATAACAAACTTAAACCTATATTTCAGACGTTTATTGATATGACTCTGGCTTAGCTTCAGCTGTTTTAACATAACTCAAACCTAGCTAACGTTAGCTTCATATCTCAATGACTAAAACATGTATTCATGTTGCACTACAAACATAATATTGTATGCAGAATAACGACTGTTAGTGTTACTACCAACAATATTAACAGACACATTCATTCAGCCTACAGACGACTAGTCCTCCAGAACATTCTGGAAATAATGAATTTAATGGGTTCATTTCAATTATCTTCAAATGAACAACCAAAACAAGTGCATGATATTGACTTATTGAAAATACAATATAATGGACAGACAAAACTATATTTAACATCTAATTTTGATAATTGTTTAGCTATAAGTTATATTGTTGCACAAAGCTAAATCCTACTTCAATACAACAATAGAAAACGTTTACTTAATATTGTAGAGACAAACATTTTTAAACCATAAACTATTGCATTTATATAATATTCTTTAAACCATTTTAGCTATATTATGCCATTCATATTAGCTACATCTATTATTCTTAGACCAACCAGAAGCTTCTGAAATAAAAATTAAAATAGAACATTAAACTTTTGACATTTGATCAGCATTTTTATGTATGAATACATTTTAAATCCTCTACTAAATAGCTTAAGATTACCATGAACACTATGAAGTGAAAGTGTCAATAATATATATTTTTTGGCTTGTAGTACATGTCTCAGCATAAGAAATCAGATTGTTTAATAGATTTTTTTTTTACCAGTTTGCTGCTTAATTTTACAGGAAAGCAAATATCCGAGTCACCATTGAGCTTCAGTTGACAAACAGTCCTGTGCACAAAAGGGTGAGTAAGAGTTTTTGCAGTTTTAATTGCATATTTTTGGACCTATGGTCTCATATATAACTTTTTGCTCATTTATAACTTATAAATCAAGTTAAAAATAAAGGCACAGATTGCATCAAGGGGGAAATGAAATAGATTACTACTTAGTAATTAGTACATTTTTGCCAGCTTTCCTCTTATTTAATACAACAAGTTGCCTTATGCTATAATAGTTGAACGCTGGTTCTGGTGATCTTACTTTATTCATGGATACCACGTGACGTCACTGTATTCTAGCGCCGCCATTTTGGTGTCCGGTCACAGCAAGTCATTACAACAACAGAGAACACAGAGGAAGCAACAGAGAAAGACACATCGTGAATAATAAAGTCTGTGGATATGCCTGGGATTTGTTGTGCTGTGGGCTGTGACAATAGTCGCCAGAGGAACCCCGGACTACAGTTTGTATCGATCCCCAAAGTTTACACCCCAGAACTCTGTTGACCTAACTTCCTGTTTTCATTTCGTATTAGGATCTTCTAGTACGACTAACAGATGATTTGGATCCATATTTTCTTTTTAACCTCTCCATATCAGAAGAAGATTTCCAAAGGTAAGTAATGATCCAATTCTAAAAATACAAAGCTCAGTGTTTGAATGCGTTGATCCTACTCTCACTGCTGTTTTCTTTATTTCTTATTGTTTGTGTAGTTTGAAAGTCCAGCAGGGTC